CATACAAAGATCATAGAAAGACAACAGAAGAGAAAATCCTCCCATCATGGGTACCCAAAACATGTTATCCAGGGTATAACACAATCATTCACTACATAGACCATAACGCACACATATCACGCTCCGGGGTAATTGAACCAGTAAACCATTAATTTAAATAGTTAAATATTAATTTCTCCATAAATCAAAGATCAGGCCAACTCTGCAAGTCAGAAACCATTAATTTAGACAGCTAAATTCACTATCTCCAGAAATCAAAGATCAAGCTGACTCACACACACACACACACACACACACACACACAAAAAAAAAACAAAACAAAAGGCTCATCAGAAACGATCAGCGTATCATGTAGGAAGAATAACCCATATAAATCACCAAACAATACAAATAATGCCATCATCAACAGAACATGGAGAACAAAATAATCACATATCAACCATAAACACGATCAACGTACATAACGCCGCAGCTCAGCCAAAAATCGAGATTACAAAAGTGATCATCATAAACCATCAGCATATGAACGAACAAACAACCCATAAACTTCACTAAACCACACAAACAAAGCAATCAACCATAGAACATGAAGATCAAAGATCACCATCCGCCATAAACACAAGCGCCGTACACAAAAAACGCAAAATTAAACAACAAATTCATCAAGATACCTTTTGTCGATGACGACGATGCTAGAGAAATCAAACAAACAGAGCAAAACAAGGTTGAGCAAAAGCAAGAACCTAACGCGCAGCTCGGCAAGAATGAGCAAAAATTATCTTCACCCAAAGTTATATATACGAACGAAGAGGCAAAAACGGAAACCCTAATCACAAAAAGGTTGTGTAATTAATCACGCCACAAAAAACATCGTTGGCCAGACGAAATCGGTTATTACTGATTATGGATTTTAGAAAAATTATAAGAATTGATTAGTGAATTTACCTATTTGGCCTTATCTTGTTGAGGGCGACGCTGCGAGGCAGGGGCCTTTTTCGGGGTTACCAGTTAATTTTGCGATTCGAGTTGGACCAAAAGCCCAATTTCCCTGGGCCTGAAACATTACTAATCATAATTAAAATTGGGCTCGTCCCTAAAAGACGGGCGTAGTAGGAGATGTTCACAATCCACCCTAAAACACATAGTAGGAGATGTAGCACTGTCAAACGGGCCGGTTCGGCCCGGCCCGCTCCAGCCCGTGTTGGCCCGCGGTTCAAACGGGACCGCATTTCTACGGGCTAGAAAATACATAGCCCGTGGCCCGCCCGCGGGTTGTGTTTATTTTTTTTATGGTATTTGCACTCTTATATATATTTTTGGTTTGTTTATCCTTATATTTACTAGTATATTAATAAACTAGTAAGGTTTCATGTGTAATGATGTTAAATATTTGTCATCTAGTATTTATTTTTATTTTTTTTATCAATAGTTATAGGGTATTCACAGAGCCGGTCCTACACATTATAAGGCCCTGGGCCAAACACAAGAATAGTGCCTTAAATATTTTTTTTCTTAAATAAAGAATTAATTTAATATTGATGTTCCAACAAATTTTTTTAAAAATATATAATTTTTATAATATATCAAAGGTAACAAGTAAGATCTTAGTTTTTTTTTAATCAAAATAATGATATCTTTCACCTTTCAAAATGAAATCTAAATAAATATTACATATAGCTTAATATTTTCTTAATCAAATTTTATATAAGACCTTAATTCTAAGTAGTGATCTAAATGTAACCATAATTTAAAAATAATGAGCAATCAATAAATAAAAAAAAATAAATATTATAAATAAATAGTAACTTGAAAGATAGTGTAATAATATGTAATAAAGTGAAAGAAAGAGATAAACTGGAGTTATGTATAAAAAAATACGTGTAATTTAATGTGTGACTGTGTGATAGAAAATGTGTATTGTACTAATGAGAAAGAGATAAAATAACATGTTACAAGAACATCTTAATTATTAAAGAGTCAATAAAGAGGCATTGCACCCAAAAAATATAAATAAATAAATAAAGAGGCATTCAAATAAATATTACAAAAAGACAATAATGAATACTATTTATTGTTTTTCTCTCTCCACATTGTTCACATACTTCGAAAAAGAGTCAATAAAAAGAGTAATGAATACTGTTTTTCTTTTTCTCATGTTCAAACTTCACATACACAGAGTCGGAAATAAATAAAAACTAAGAAAGTACTAGTGGACTTGGTGCCCCTTAATGTATTTGGGCCTGAGCCAGGGCCGGCCTTGGGTATTCACGCGCAGGAACAACTTAATTGACATAAAATATTATTTAATTTATTAATATTTTTATTATGTAAAAAAAAATGTTCCATGTGCAAGTTAGAAATTAGAAGTAAAATAAAAAATACTAAATTTAAATAATTAAAAAAAAAAAAACGGGCCAGCCCGCCACAACCCGCGGGCCAAATAGGCCCGCGATTGAACGGGCTGGCCAAGCGAAGGCCCAAACCCGTCCGTTTAAGCGGGCCCGCCCGCAGGCCACTGGCCCGTTTGACAATGCTAAGGAGATGTGCACAATCCACCCTTCAGCCAATTGACATATGTTAGAGGTGCTAACCAGTCGAGTCGAACTCAATCGTATGATACTCAAATTCCTGATACTTGCACTTGAGTATGATTCTTTAAGATGATTTGAGTTGGTTCTATGAACTAAACGATCTCGATATCGGATCATTTATTAATATTAACGATTTGAACTCGAGTATCAATGACCCGAGTTATAAAAATTACTTACAATTTTTTTTTCCAAGTCTTAACGAGCCTAACTCGTTAACCAAACGAGTTCATGATGTTGAGAATTCACTAAATAGTTAAGGTAGTTATATAATTATGTATCTCAAGTCCCATGATGTATAATGTATCTGATGATTTTGCAAAAATAAATAAATAAATAAATAAATAATAATTAGTCTTATTGGGCCATAATCGCGCACTTAGAGTTGTTGCTCGTGAGCTCGACTTTGTTTGTTTGATAAACAAATCTATCTTAAACTCATTTAAGACTTGAGCTCGTCTTGTTAATTAAAGTTCGTTAACGAGTTGAACTCAAGCTTGTTTATCTCCTTCTTAAGTCAATGAGCTAACTTGAGCTCGTCTTGTTAATTAAAGTTCGTTAACGAGTTGAACTCAAGCTTGTTTATCTCCTTCTTAAGTCAATGAGCTAAGTTCAACACGACTCGGCTTGGCTCGGCTTATATACTGCTATAAGTGGACCTATAGGCTATTTGTGTTATCATTGAATTTTGTGCCTAGAAAAGAAAAAAGATGAAATAGCCATTCGTGTAGTGTTCCTATTAACTAAGCTGCTTCACGTTGGGTTGTCTGCTTACTGATTGGATCATAATTGAAAGATATACTTTTACCTAAAAAAAAAAATCATTCTCACAATTCACAAGTCACCTGAGAAAAAAACAGAGCTTATTATTATTATTATTATTATTATTATTATTATTATTATT